GATGGATTGATTCGGTGACTGGGGTAATCGGGACGGGTGTGTCAGAGGCAGTGCGGTTGGCGCAGGATAGAGCAGGGTTTAGGGCTGTTGTGCCGCTATGAGTAAAAAACGACTCGACGGCACATAACAACAACAACAATGTAAAAATCATCAGAGGAAGTTCAGTATACAAGTGGAACTCTACCTAATATTTTTGCAACTTTCCTGTATCCCTAAAATTAGTTTAAAGAGTTATATTTCTAATACTCAGTTTCAGAAAGCAATTTCATATTAATAGTTGTTTCCGCTTTTGTTTTTAATGCCAGGCACATCTTTGAGCATAACTGTGTCCCTCATTGCTTCTTATGGCAGATTCTAGATGAGGGCTGTGTTCAGTGGGAATGCGCTGCCTGGGGCCCTTTTTACAGAGCTAGGCCAGGTGCCCTGAGAGCTGGGCCCAGCGCAGAGCTGAGGAGGGGACAGGTGAGCTGTGGAGCGAGTGCTGTGGCCCATTCTCTCCTTTTGCTCTCAACAGACCTGCCCTGTGTGAGTCAGTGGCCTCGAAGCAGCATTATCATTCTCAGCTCATTTGACTGTAGATGGGAAGGTTCTGTAGCTTGGGTCAAAGGTGTAATGAGAGGACGAAAGTCATCCCACCATTTTATTTCTTTTATGACAGAAACGGAGGGGGCCGCAGCGGGACGTTCTGTGCAATCAGCATTGTCTGTGAGATGTTGAGGCACCAGAGAGCGGTGGACGTCTTCCACGCGGTGAAGACTCTGAGGAACAACAAGCCCAACATGGTGGACCTTCTGGTAGGAGCCTGCCCTTCCCCTTGCCAGATGCCAGTGCTCACGGCTGCAGGGAATGTAATCCCAAACGGGCAGACAGAGCCACTCTCAAAAGTACACTGCAATCACTTCACTTGTAAAGGCTTCCTGCCTATTTCTTTTGCTTCTTCCTGCTTTGCTTTGTCACATGGAAACTTTGTCTCAGCTGGTTGAAATATGGAAGGAGTTGAAGCTCACAAGTGCACATCCTTATTCATTTCCTCTCCTGGCAGTGCCTTCCATGTGGCTAAGCACTTAGTCTTCTTGGAGAATAATCATCACGAATGAAATGCCAGACTTCCAAATTATATATTTTATAAATAGCTTAATCACCTAATATTTATCAAAGCTGTGAATTTTCATTTGACATCCAGAATATTGCATTTAATTATGGTGACCGTATCTGAGGGAAGGATTAAAGGAGTTGAGAAACAAAGGACAATGTGCAATTATGTTCTTAGAGTATTTCACAGGATCTCTTTTTATGTGGAGCTGTTGAAATGCCAACCACTGTGAGTTAAGAACAGTAGGATAGCTTCAGGGAGGAAGCTTTCAGATTGGGTTTTGTACTTCTCTGTTAGGGGTGGAAGGATCTGAAGAAAACTGTAGGACTCTCCCCATTGCGGAAGAATGGCCAGGGCAGAGGGGGCAAGGGAAGAATTTGTGCTGACAAGGTCTGTACTTATTAGTCTGGAAAACTTGCAATCATAAGATTAAAATTTAAAAAATAGTGTTTGAAAAAAATTAGCAGGTCTAAACTTTTGAAATTCACACTAATGCTGAGAGGCTTTGTCCTCATCTAAAAGAAGCTGTTGAAACAGTGCCATCAGCTCGGTATAAACATGGCCCCAGTGATGATTGGCTCCTGGATCTCCAGTCCTCGTCCACACAAACCTGATTCCATGAATATGTGCTTTTCTATGAATTTGTGTCTTCTATTTGATGAGCTTGTCTGTCTCCTAGAAGCCTGGTATTGGCTAGGGAATTTGGCCACGTGCACCTTCTCAAATCCCCCAGCTTCCCTGTGCCCACTCCCCTGTTCTGCTGCCTGCTAGTTCTGCCTCTGATTCAGAGTCCACAAAACCCAGATTCTCATTTAACCTGTTGGTGCCAGGTTAGCTGACCTTGGAAAAAATTAACTTGGGCAGTCCAAGTTTATTATGATGAGTCGTTTGACTTTTCTGGGCCTTAGTTTTGTAAAGTGAGTATACCACTGGATTCTTGAGGGGATACAGTATAAAAGGGTTTGGAAACTGTACGCATGAGAATCACATGATGTGATTGTGGGGCTTCTCCTTGGCAGGACACTTGTAGGTCACCCAAGCCAGTGTGATGGGGCAATGCAGACTTGGAGAAGGATACTGGCTTTCCAAGTGCTTACAAGGCACTGCTCCCAGTGCCTCTCAAACGCTGATAGAAGGTGCTAGAAAGCTGTTGTATCCTAAGCATACAAGTTCACGGGAGCCAGCTCCTCCTTGAGGGCAGGATACACTCCCCTCACTGGCACCCCCATGAATGTCACAAGTTCCAGCACCCCTGAGCTCTCAGTCTTTCAGCTGGGGGAAGGGGCAGTTGAAGATGGATGTTCAGATCATCAGGAGATCAGATGTGGGCTGAGAAGACCATCGGTCCACCCACTGCAGTATCCGGCCTCACTTCACTCAAAGTGTGACCCCAGCAAATGAGAGATGCATGTACAGCTCCTAAACTTGGCTGGCACTTGGGGAAAGCTGACTTACTAAAAAAAAAAAAAAAATACCTCCTTTTTCTCTTACTACCACCTGAATTAAACTGATGATTAATTCTGCTTAGGGATAGAAGACACTCAGACTCACATATATTCTCTAGAGACCCTTTAATTACATTTAAGCGGGACAAAGACCATTCAGGAATGAGGGAGCCCATTGGCATGCGCATAGCTCAGAGGCCAAATAGAGTCCACTCATTCACAGCTACGGAGTTCCTTCTGTGTGCCTGAAGGACAGTACAGATGGTCACAGCTCTGCTGGAAGCTGCACAAGAGACCATGAGTGGCAGGTGTGCATGACTTCAGGTTAAGAAAGACTTCAAGATTTGTTCTGAGGCTTTACCTGCCTGGCTCCATGGTAGTTATCAAATGATTTTATTATAGCCACAGTGTTTTCAGCCAAATCATCCAGGCAAGTTCCCCAGTTTCCTAGGCAAGGCTGGGGACAAAAAGCCCCTCCTTGGGTCTACCCCAGATTCATCTAAGCAAAGTCACATGGCAGGTGTGATGGTCAGAAAGAAATCAAATGCACCCATGCAGACCCTGAAAAAGGAGTTAGGGCTCACCCTTCCACAGACCACGTGCTTTGGAATTTAAGGATTAGACGTCCTTTTTTGTTTTTCATTTTCTACTAGTTTATTTACAAAATTTGAATACATTGTTTTCAAGGATAAATTCTTTACATTTCCCTCACCTCCTCACCCATCAAATTGTACAACTTCATGATTAACCCTCCCCCTTGCATACCCTCATCCCCTGCTTCCACCCCCCCGCCCCACTGCTCTTGGATCCTTGTACTCATTCTACAATGATGGATTAATTTGTACATCCCCATGATTAACCCCCACCCCCTTCCACACCTTCATCCCCTGCTTCTGCCCCCCCCCCTTGGATCCTTGTACTCATTCTACAAAGATGGATTAATTTGAGCGTGTTGCTAGGAGGAGCCAATCCTCGGCAAAGGACGTCCTGTTTGGAAAGGTGGAGGGTCAGCCGAAGAGTAGAAGATCCTAAAGAAGATGGGTTCACACAGTGACTGCAGCAATGAATGGGCTCAGGTAGTCAGAGATGGTGAGGATGCGCAGGATAGGGCAGAATGCAGCCTGATTGTTGCTGGAGCACACATGACAGCAACTTGTGATTACAAACACATCCTGGGGGTCTCTCGTCTGGAACTAGTGCCATGGGTTTTACCATGAGGATTTTCATGGACAGATAAAGGTGTGGGTTCTCCCAAAGTCATGTAGATGTGGGTCAGTGGCCGTTCCCCCCGACATAGGTGCAGACCCAGAGAACTGGACCGCAGGGAGCTTCCAGCCCTACCCTCAGAAGCCTGTAAAATTTGTGCATTTCCTTGTTGTGGGTAATTGTAATGGAGTTAGTAGTAAAATCTGTGCATTTCCGTGTTGTGTAATTGTGATAGACTTGGTAGTAGTCCATGCATTTCTATGTTGTGTAATTAGGGGGACCCCAGGACACTCAGACCTCTCAGGGTCACCATGAGTTCCAGGACAGTCAGCAGCTAAGGAAAAGGGGAAAATTTTGAAATATCTTGTGCAAATTGTCTGATAAATGTGTAGCAGGACAATAGATAGCATCCGGACCTGAGGGAAAAGGTCACCTTGCCCTCTGCAGTGGGCTTGATCATCCTCAATGGAGTGAGAACACTTGGTTGTTACTTTGTGAATGCGTTTTCAGTTTAGCTTGATGCTCACACATATGCATGTTGGCCAAGGGAATGCATTAGCTTCAATCAGGGTAATAAAGTCTGGCCTGGTTTTACTGGTGGCCCCAGTGCCACAAATAGCAGTGGGGCAACAGTGAAAGAGGCCTCTGTGTCTTCTCATTGCTGATAATGCGTTGTCTGTCTCTTCAGCCAGCCTCCAGGTTCATTAAAGAAGAGCCCAGGAGAACACAGTTCACCTGTACTTCATATGTCAGTCCCACGAAAGGAGCGCAGGGCCCCTTGGAAAGGACCCTCATTGTGGGGAAATGGGTTGCTTCAGAGCAAGTGCTTCTCCCCTCTGTCTTGAATGCTGAGCATTGAAGCTCCCAGAACTCTGCATTAACAGAGAAAAGGTCTTTGAAGACAGAAACTTTGCTGACAAAATTGCAGTCTGTCCCACAGGCAGATTGATCCCTGGGCTGGTGCCTGTCCAGAAGTGGGTTGAATGGATGGCATCCCACACACACTCCCATGAACCTGCAGACCTCCCCTCTAAGGCAAGGACATACACCAGCATTTATTTTCTTAACTGCCTGTCAGCAGGTACTTCTTGACTCTTAGAATTCAAATGAGATCAATCCAGTCCCCAGTTCAAAGCCCTACTAGGGCTTCTGTAAATTGTCTGGGAAGTTCCAGTCCCATGATTCTCTTGGATTTTGCCAAATAACCCAGCATCATTAATAGAAACATAATTCCCTCTAAGCAAAAACTGACTTGTCCTCTCTCCTACCCTAGTAATCACTTATTATCTTTAATTCCCATGGATTTGTGTATTCTATATGTGAGACTATCTATCTATCTCTCTATCTATCTATATCCTATATATATATCCTATATATATAGACTATATATCTCCTCTTGCAGCAAAGTTCATAAAAGCATGTTTTCTTTAAAGATTAATATATCAAGACTCTCTTTATGATTGAGTACTATTCTAGTGTATGTATATTCCACATTTTTTTTATCCATCAGTCTGTAAATGGATATTCTGGTTGTTTCCAAGTTTTGGCTGTTGTGAAAATCACAGTGAGCATTGATGTTGAGGTTTCTGTCAAATTCCTTCTTTCACATCTTCTGGATAGAGAGCTAGGAAGGGCATTGCTGGGTCACATTGCAGTTCTGTGTTCAACTTTTTGAGGAAGTGTCGGTCTGTTCTCTACAATGGCTGTACAATTTTATAACCCCACCAGCAATGGATAAAGTTTCAAATCTTTCCACAGCCTGTGCAGTACCTATTGCTTTCCCTTTCCTTGACCATTGCCATTCTAATGAAGACACTAGGACTTTGATTCTGTGAGTCAGAATCACTTGATAGAATTAAATGGTTAACAACCTTAATCTTTTCATGTGCTTCTTGTCCATCTGATTGATTAGCTTCTTTGCTGTAATGTCTGTTCAAGTCTTTTGCCTATTTTTGATTGGATTGTCTTTTAATTGATTAGATATAGGGAGAAAGTATATGTGCACATGCACATGTGTGCATGCGTGTGTGTGCATGTGTGTGTGTGTGTGTGAGAGAGAGAGAGAGAAGCCCAAGTCTTATCTTTTCATAGATATGTTTATTCCTAGGTTCTTTGTTCTTTTCAATGATACTGTATTTTTAATGACAGCTATTGGGATATCATTCATATCCCATATAATTCACCCTTTTTAAAGGTACAGGTGTTTTTCTTATAACTGCAGGGCTGTGCAGCCCTCACCACAATCCATATTTAGAACATTTTCTTCACTGAAAAAAGAACTCAGTTAGTAATCACGTCTCATGCCCTAACCTCACCCCTGATAACCATCTTTTATATTCCAGTGGATTTACTTGCTTTAGCCATTTAATATACCATATGTGGCTTTTTCTGTCCAAATTTTATCACTTAGTATATATTTTTACGGTTCACTGAGTAATATTCTACTATATAGACACACTACACTTTGTTCAGTTGATCTGTTGGTAGAATTGTGAAGGGGTTTTTTGCCTTTTGAGTACTGTAAATTCATTATGAATTATGAATGTCCATTTATAACTTTTTAATATAAATATGTTTTCACTTTTCTTGAATATATTGATAGGAGTAGAATGCTATGTCATGTGCTGAACTGTCAAACCATTTCCCATAGCAGTGCACCGTTGTAAATTGCCACCAACAAACAGTGCATAAGGGTTCCTTTCCCAACATCTTTTCCAGCACTTGTCATTGTCTATCTTTTTTATTTTTTAGCTGTAGCTATTACTGCTATTAATTTTTACCTTGCAATATGGTTAAGTATATTAAGATAATGATTTTGTTTCCTTTCTATCTTAACTTTGATACATTGTAATTTCCTAACCTAAATGTTTCTTGAGTTGAATTAAATACTGAATCCATGTCTTGTCATTCATCTATGGATGTGCAAGGTAGTGGTGGGTATTTTTATGGCTCTTTTTATCTAGGATGGGCTAGTTTATTATACCTGCCACTCTGGTATAGTTAAAATTAGTGTCCTTGAGATGGGTCAGATTGGGATAATTTCACTTTTTTGCCTGTTACATTAGATCAGAGTGCTTGTAATTTAATAGGTGCGTAATAATTTCTGAGCAAATCCTGTTGACTGAAAATCAAAGGTTAATACTATACCAAGAGTGAAAGTTTATAGGTTCAGGCCGCCCTGTATATGAGGCATTATCCTTAAGTTCTTCACTGTTAGCCAGTTATCCAGAACTTCCCCGGAATTTTAAGGAGCTTTACAGCTATGGACAGTGGATATGTTTGGTTATGACTTTTTCATTTCTGATTAAACATCCTCATCAGTTTGATTAACCACATTTTTTATTTGCCAGACCAAGCATTTAGGTATTATGGAGTTGACACTTGCTCTTCTGTTTTGCAGGATCAGTACAAGTTCTGCTACGAGGTGGCCCTGGAATACTTGAATTCTGGCTGACATCCCAGCATCTCTCAAGCAAACCCTCTCTACCGCAAAGCCAAGGCACTCCACAGTGTTTGCCTGCAGGAGACAGCAATTTCTCAATATACTTATTCTGCTTTGCCTAACTGACTCTCTGAGAGTAAGGAAGGGGCTGTAACTGCCTGCACTGCCCAGTTCCCACAGTCATGCTGCCGCCTGGCAGCCCCACTCTGCACCACAGTGGTCATATGCCCCTTGCCAACACCAGCCTGGGGGACAGACCAGACGCTAGCCGATTGTAGAGCACAACTATATTCTTATGAAGGAATTTGTACCTTTAGGGTATTATTTTGTGGCCCGTGACCCTTTGTTATTGTTACAGCTAAGTGTACATTTTTGTTCTGTGGAGAATGCTACCTGGCATTATGATATTATTTTAGTTAATATTTGTATTTTAACATGTTGCATAGCATAAGCATATGTAGCTTTGCAGGACTAACACAGACCTATAATGAACAGAGCTATGTTGTATGAGTTGCTGTTTCTATCAGATTTGTATGAATTCCAAGGGAAAAGCCAGGAAGGAACTCAGTTCAAAAACGTAAACCCTGATAATCAGATTCAAAGATCCAGAGCTTTTGCATTTGTTTATATTGTAAATACTTTTGATTTCTCCAAATTATTTATTCATTAAAGGAAAATTTTGTGAAGCACAGTGAGTGACAATCATTTTTCCTAAGGCCTGGAAATAACTTGCTATATGATGTTATCTTGGGTGATTCTCAATCAATAAACACTAACACATGGCCCAGTGGTCTTGAATTCCTGGTGTCCCAGCGTACAGGGTGGAGGCAGCTGCTCCAGCCACCCTGGGAGAGAACACGCAGCTAGAGAATTTTCTCCTAGAACTGGTACAGTTAGCAGTTTTGAGAGAACTTCATCCGTAGGAAACCTAGACCCATTGTATAAGTCTGCTCTTGTGCAGATGACACTTGTACACACTGTGTGCCCTGCATGTTTTTAGAAAGCATGGGCCAGGCTCTGGGATGGGGGCTTTCTAACCTGAAAAACCCATTCCCTATTCCCCCTGCATCCAATTAGGGATAGTAGCTGTCCTCACTATGCTTCACTCAGCCCTAAAAGCTGCTGAGAAAATAATCTCTAAGGAATTGCAGAATCGAGAGTGCTTTTAAGCAGGACACAAACCTCAACAAAACCTTTCCTGATAACAGGACTCAGGGTACAGAAAGGACCACCTGTTAGTGCCACTGGAGCTAGAATAGAACAGACCCAATACAAAAGAAGACATTGAAAAGGTAATAAAACAACTTCCAGACAAAGAAGTCCTGGACCAGATGGCTTCAAAAGTGAATTTTATCAAACATTCACAGAAGAACTGTCACCAATCCTACATAAACTATTTTAGAAAATAGAAAAAGATGGAATTCTCCTAGACTCATTCTATGTAGCAAACATATCCTTGATACCAAAACCAGGTAAAGATACCACAAAAATATAAAACTATAGGCCAGTATCTCCCATGATAGATGGAAAAATCCTGGCCAATAGAATCCAACGATACATAAAAAAATAATTCACCATGAACAAGTCAGATTCATAACAGGTATGCAAAGATAATCCAACATAAGAAAAACATTATCATTCATCACATTAACAAAGCAAAGAATAAGAGCCACATGATCCTATCAATTTATGCAGGAAAGGCCTTTGACAAAATCCAACACCCTTTCCTGATTAAAACACTTAATAAAATAGGGTTAGGGGAATTTCTTCAACACAGTAAGAAGTATATACACAAAACAGAGAGCCAACATTGTTCTCAATGGAGAGAGATTAAAGGCATTCCTGTTGAGAACAGGAGCTAGGCAAGGATGCCCACTATCACCTCTCCTATTCAATATCGTATTAGAAGTCTTAGCAATAAGACAAGAAAAGGAAAAAAAGAGGTATCCAAATTGGCAAGTTGTTGTGTTGTTAAGTTCTGTTGAGTCAGCAACTCATAGCAACCCTATGAATGAAAGTCCTTGACACTTGCGTGCATGACTTTCATCCTTTCTCCAGGTTCATAGGGTTTTGGGAGGCAAGCTATTTACAGACGTGAATGCCACTCCTGCTTCCAAGCTTGTTTTAACTGAGGAGCGCCACTAAACACTGTCCACCATGGGTCACCATTATCGCATTTGACACATCAGTGTCACAGTGTTCAGCTTCATAGTGACCACAGGTTATCTATGTATGGCAAGTGGACACACCAGGGCTATACGATCTAGAAGAATGTTTGACCAACAACAATTTAAAACAAGCCTGAGGGCCGCAAGCCCAAGAGCCCTACGGTATTTTACCATTCGGGAACACCCACGTACTGGCAAACTCTGGGCCAGAGATCCCCAATTCATCTAGCAAGTCCACTCTATGGCCACCCACTTGAAACAGAAAGAAAGCCACAAACGTCCCCGCGGTAAAATTATCTCTCTATGCAGATAATCTGAAAGCAGGAGTGGCATCCACTTCCAAAATAGCTTGCCTCCAGAACCTCTATGTATGAACAGTGTTCAGGCCTTTCGTTCATTGGGTCGCTATGAGTTGTCTACAACTTGGTGGCACCTAACAACATTAACAATGACGACGTAGAGCTATGTTGGCCTAGTGGACAGAAAGTTAGGCTACCAAGCCAAAGGTGGGTGATTTTAATCTGCAGCCCTCAGGCCTGGTTCAAATTGTTTTCCTGTCAAACATTCTTCTAGGTGATATAACACTGGTCTGTGCGTTGCTGTACAGAGGTAACTCATGGTTGCTGTGATGCTGAACACTGGGACACTGATGTGCCAAACATGGTAATGGTTACCCATGGTGGACAGTGTTTGCTGGAGTTTCCCAACTAAAACAAGCCTGGAAGCAGGAGTGGCATCCACTTCCAAAATGGCTTGTCTCCAAAAACTCCATGAGTTGTCTACAACTCGATGGCACCTAAAAACAACAACATTTATTCCTTGTGCTGTTGGATCCGCAGAGCCGGACCCCAATGAGATCGGACGCCAGCACCAATCACTCACGAGAGACCGTCCTTGATGCAAACAGCATGAGGTTTTATTCCATCCAGCGCGCTGGGGCACAACTCT